TTGTACACCAAGACTCGTTTTGAAACCGAGGTAGAAGCAACTCGGAAATTTCTTATTGCGAGATTGACGCGCTCGACGCGGGACCGCGCGCTTTTGTACTGAAACACAAAAGAATCTTGACTGCTACCAATTAACGTTCGCCAAGAGTGGACATGGCGGCCAAGCCTGTTGTCCCCTATTGTGGAAAAGTGACCCTTACTAGTATCCATGAAGTCCCTTATAAGAAAGCGAGAGAAAATAAGGGGACAGAGGGGGACATTGAGGGCGTTGGCCGGGATATGTCGATTCCTCTAAAGTTATTTTTAGTTTTAGACGGAAATAGAAATCTGTTTCCCCAAATGTCCGCACAGAGGGCAACCTCGGTCTGAAGTGGACAGTGACCGGAAAATTTCAGTGATAATGGCGGACCGCGTGGAAGACTATTGAATATTCAATATGCTTCTTCCAAGCGCAATATACAAACGTTTAGACTTCGACATCAATATCAGCAATGACTGCGAAGTTGCTTTAAGTCGAGAAACTACTGAAAATCCCGATGGTGTTTCGGCGGATTGTTCTTCAGCAAAAGCTCAAAAGGAAATTCCAGGGTTATTTTCAGCACTTTAAACTACTTTCGATTTGACTTTTTAATTTCCAGCATGTGATTTTAAGAACTACATGCTCACTCATTCGAACTAAGCGCTATCGCGCATGTGATGTTTCGTGGTTCTCGTTTTTTAAAACAGTATTAATTAATAAAAAAAAAACGGCGTTGAGAGGCGAATATTAAATTATTTTGTCAGCCGTTAGTAAGGAATTAACGAGTTGCAGGTATGGGAACCCCTTACAGAACAATCAAGTCCGATATGATAATACAGTCAAACCTCTATTCAGCGGTCACCCTCCAGAAATAGCCAGGTGACCGCTTACCGGCATGTTGACCGCCGGCTTAAAAGAGGTGCATGATCAAAATTTAGCGTATTATGGGGCAAAAAACTGAACACGATGACAAAAGTAAGCGCGTAATCTTCATTTATTGTTCGTAACANGATTTGCAAGACAATGAACGTGCAAGAAAAGCTCATTTCAATATGAATGGTTGTACACCAAGACTCGTTTTGAAACCGAGGTAGAAGCAACTCGGAAATTTCTTATTGCGAGATTGACGCGCTCGACGCGGGACCGCGCGCTTTTGTACTGAAACACAAAAGAATCTTGACTGCTACCAATTAACGTTCGCCAAGAGTGGACATGGCGGCCAAGCCTGTTGTCCCCTATTGTGGAAAAGTGACCCTTACTAGTATCCATGAAGACCCTTATAAGAAAGCGAGGGAAAATGAGGGGACAGAGAGGGACATTGAGGGCGTTGGCCGGGATATGTCGATTTCTCTAAAGTTATTTTTAGTTTTTGACGAAAATAGAAATCTGTTTCCCCAAATGTCCGCGCAGAGGGCAACCTCGGTCTGAGGTTGATAGTGATAGGAAAATTTCAGTGATAATGGCGGACCGCGTGGAAACCTATTGAATATTCAATATGCTTCTTCCAAGCGCAATACACAAACGTTTAGACTTCGACATCAATATAAGCACTTACTGCGAAGTTGCTCCAAGTGTTCTTCTGCAAATGCTCAAAAGGAAATTCCAGGGTTATTTTCAGCACTTTAAACTACTTTCGAGTTGACTTTTTAATTTCCAGCATGTGATTTTAAGAACTACACGCTAACTCGTTCGAACTAAGCGCTATCGGGCATGTGATGTTTCGTGGTTCTCGTTTTTAAAACAGTATTAATAAAAAAAAAAAAACGGCGTTGAGAGGCGAATATTAAATTATTTTGTCAGCTGTTAGTAGGGAATTAACGAGTTGCAGGTATGGGAACCCTTTACAGAACCATCAAGTCCGATATGATAATACAGTCAAACCTCTATTAAGCGGTCGCTCTCCGAAAATAGCAAGGTGACCGCATACTGACAGGTTGACCGCTTAAAAGAGGTGATCAAAATGTAGAGTATTATGGGGCAAAAAACTGAACACGATGACAAAAGTAAGCGCGTAATCTTCATTTATTGTTCGTAACAACTCAAATGCGAAATATATCTAAGAAGTCGACGCACTAGTCAACAGATTTTATGGTTTATGTCGTTCATGAGGCAAGCGTCGAGCGTCTTTGCCTTAAAGCAGATAATTGCATCTCACTTAACATTAAGTGTAAAAATCAGTTCATGGTCGTCTGTGATTTGGGGTTGCATAACTTAATTTGGTGAAGCAAGTCACTGACTTTGTTCAGCGCTAACGAGAGTTCTTCCTGACCTTAAAACTGCGCTCTGGTTGACCACCTAATGTAACAAGGTGACCGTTTAACAGAGGTGAATAACAATAAAATTAGCCAATTAATTGGGAAGTCTAAACGGTGACGGCGTCCTGGCGTCCACTTAATAGAGATGACTGCTTAATGGCGGTCAAATATACAGTAAATATGTAAAGCGAATTTCGGGAATTTGAATGGTGACCTCTAACAGAGGGTGACCGCTTAACAGAGAGCCGCTTAATAGGGGTTTGATTGTAGTAAAATTACCGTAAATTCAACCATCGAGCGAGTCGATCAAGCGTTTGAACTGCAACCTCTTCTCCGGGACGAGGCTCAGTGACAACTTTACCTATTCGCGCACTAGCCAACTGTGTGTCGTGCAACTTGTATACCTACATGAAACCAAGGCGTCACAATCTCACAATACAAGAAACTAACAGGTAGGCCGACTCTACCAAGTAACTTCTCTTTATTCGGAGCTTTTAGGTAGTATCTTTTTTATGTCACTAGCCGTTTCGGGGGTCGCAGCTTCAGAAGTCCTCACTTTCGCGACGTTTTTCGAGGTAAAAAGCAGAAGCCTTGTGCAACGAATTATTTATTTGAACTACTTAGAAAAGAAGATATATTGCCTTTAGCAGTTTAGAATGAGGCTACAATCACACTCGGAACGTAACTCGGTGATAAACAATGGATAAATAGGAAAAATGTCGATAAATTAAAATTCTAACTTGACACATTTTGACTCCCGTAAAACGGGCCAACAATTTAGCCGTTAGG